TATTAAGCAAAAATTATTTTTAATAGACATACCTTTCAAGAGTTTTTATTAAAACCTTTCAAACTTTTAATTTAAATAATAAGCTTTATCATATCTTTTCTTTTACAAGTGCAAGTGACAAACTTTTAACTTGTTAATACAATGCTGAAATTTATTCAAGGACATTATTTGTTCATAATACTATATTTTTTTAAAACAAAAACAGTTTATATTTATTTTTAATACAAAAAAAATATTTTGAATTATAAGTTTAAAAGCAAAATTGTCAGTTTTCCAAGTAAGATCCACTAAAAGTTAATGAGAGTGTTCGAGTTTTTAAGTTGATAAAATAATAGTCGCGAACTCAACAAACAATCATATAAAAAAAAAATCAAAAAAGTATAATAAAGTTACACAGCTTGCTTATCAAGGAAGTAAAAAAAGGCGTGAAATTTCATATGAAAATCACTTGGCTACTCAAAATTGGAAGTGCGTTGCGATTGTTATGACTAAAAAATTTTAACGCCAAATTTTCATATGAAATGTGATCGACTCAATAATTAACTTCAACTCACGTGACATTTCCGCTGACTGTTATTTAATTTTATAAAACCCGTATTAGCTATTAATTTTTAAAGGGGTGCTTATTTTCGAAGGTTGCTTAATTTCAAGATTTTACACGTAGTACGAATTTTAGTTTTACTAAATTCGGTATAGCAGTATAGCAAGATTTTTTCTATATTTAAAATTTTGTACTACACTGAAGATCCGTTATCTTGTAAAATTCGTTATATATCAAAATTCGTTATAGAAAGAGGTTTTTTTGGATCACAGAATTGATTATTTTGTTATCAAACTTTCATGAAAGAATAATTTGACTATTACAATAATAGGAAATTATTAATAAAACAGTATTAATTCAGCTTCTTTGCTTCGTTAATTGTCATTGTTTCGTCCTTCTATCGTAATATTTAGTGATATCTCTTACATCTATATACCCTGCAAAATCTTTTACGGCTTTATTAATTACTCCATTTGATTTACAATTCATTGGAGATACATTTCGAAAGAGTCATAATTACTGATTTACTACTCGATTTTAATTAATACGATATTATAGTTGAACAAAACCGGCAAACCCTGAGCAAAATTAATCAGTCAAAAGTTATATAATACGATTCAAACAAGACTTGATAAAGAAATTATGTTTATTCGACGAGCCTCGGTTTTCGCTCGTAACATACAAAAAGAAATCGCCTTAAATGGATTAACAAGGGGTTACAAGTTTAAAAACACAATTGTAGAATGTCCTGTAATGCATAGCATTCGACTCAATTCGAGCGACACTACAATAATAAACCAACCACAAAAATCATCTGTCGTCAAGGGGGAAGAAAATTCACCGATTTGTATCAACAGTTCAAGTCCAAGTACACAAATTCAATCTTCAATCGCAAAATCAACAAAATCAACAAAATCAAGTAATAAAATTTCACTATTAAAACCTTCATTAGACATAAAGTTATCAATTGAACAATTAAAAGAAAGAACAAAATTAGCAGAAATGAACAAGAATGGAATAAAATGGAAAGAATGGACAGAAGAAGAAACAAACCTATTATTTATGGCATTAGAACTTCATGGAAATCGATGGAAATTTATTCATAGGAATTATTTTAATTATAGAACATTACATTCAATAAAATGCAAATGGGATAGAGTAAAAATTAAGTATGAAAATAGTCATAAAACAATTATATCAGCATGGGCACCAGAAGAAGATGAACTTTTGTTAAAGGCTGTTGAAAAATATGGTAAAGGGAAATGGAGAAAAATTTCAAGAATGCTACCAAATAAAAATGCGTTACAAGTGTATAGGAGATATTATTTTATTAAATATACAAAACGCGGTAATTTTACCGAAGAAGAAGATAATTTGTTATGTAATTTGTTAATAAAATATGGTGGAAATTATTGGCAAAGAATTGCAGAGGAAATGAAAAGACCCGTTCATACTATTATGAAACATTACAAGTTCGTTTTATTAAACGCTGCTAAATTTTCAACATGGACCGATCAAGAGAATGAATTAATTAGAAATTCTATTTTAAAATATGGTAAAGATTGGAAAAAAATTCAAAATTTGCTACCTCATCGTTTGCCTCGTTCTATTAAAGAACATGTTAGGTTTTGTTCTTTTGCTGATCCACATTATAATAGCGGTTTCTGGGAAATTGATGAAACTATGAGATTAGTTAAGGCTGTTAGATTATATGGAAAAAGTTGGCAAAGTGTTTCAAAATTTGTTAAAACCAGATCTCCTTTTCAATGTCGTATCTATTTTAGAGATGCCTTCACAAGAAAAGGTCGAGAACACTATATTTTAAATTTGGAACTTGAAGGAATACAACAAATATTTCCTACTGAGGTACTTTCATAATTTTTAATATTTTAAGGGTGATTATGAATTTTATTTTAACTTAAAGCGTTACTTTTTTTTAATTAAACAGGATCAAGCGACTCTGGAGAAACTTGCAGCAGAACAATTATTAATGGAGTTAAGGTCTCCGGAATCGGAATCAGAATATAATTCTCCCGAGACAACTTCTACTGAACACAATTCTACAAATTAAACGAGACTTGAGCTGATGTTCCTAACATCTTTTCAACATTTCACAATTTATCCTCGGTCATTACATACTATCTTCCTCCCCGAATAAGGCATATCGTTTGAATAGAACATTGATCATTAGAGAATCAAAGTAAAATTTAAATGAAAATAATGTAATTTCATCAATTTAATAAAATTTCTCTGAATATCCCCCTCTTTCATAATTAAAACTATACCGACGAATAAATTACATAAATTCTACTTGACGCCAACAATCCAAGCGAAAGAAACTCCAAATTTTTCTAAATCAATTCCAATAAGTCATCGTCATTATCAGAACATCTGGTTAGGTGTTAACGATTATATCTTTAACAATGAATGATATGGTAATACTTGATCACATTACTTTTCACCCATAAGGAACATATTTAAAGTTTGGACAATAAAGTTTTTCACTTCATTATCCCCCGATCTTATAACCAAATTTTCAGTAACCACAAATATTGAATGGCAACGTAATAAAACTAAAAATTTTCAATCTTTGGTTCCTCGAAAGAAGTCGATCTACATGCTGTCTCAAATAGTTGCTGATTGAAAATATGTGATCAAAGGTTTTGCGAATAATTATCAAAAATGGATTCAATAATGAGGCGTTTTAATGAAAGTCAGCTTTCTGAACACATCACGCCTCTTCTAATTCTACGTGAAGTACATTCTTCAAATTTTGTCCATGCTCATTACATTAAATTTTCGTAGTATGGATTCGTTAAATATTTTTAATATATGTCAACCTCAAGAACGACTATGGTATCATCGTGCTTTGTTCTTTGAATTAAGTAAACGATGTGAAGCCATTTCTAAAATATTTTATTGCCGGAGAATCAACATAACAACTCCTTCACTACATGTTATTTTTTGAAAGTAATTACATCATTAGAATATAAACTTTTGAGTTCTCTTCAAGAAGAATGTTTATCTGTCGTTATTTTATGATTTTCTATGGATTTTTAAAATGCAGGGTAATAAGTTGGAATAATATCTTTGTATCATTCAGAAATCATTATTTCTGTGTCACTATATTTAATGCATTAAATAACGCCGATCATAGCTTAAATTTATTTTACACATTTTAACTTAATTACTAGGGAACGGTATCACCGTTGTGAAGTCCGGAGCTTAAGATCACGTGAATTAATTATGTCAATATCATTACGTCT